AGAGAACAATCATGGGAGAAAGAAGGGCTCCTTATGCACAGGGAGACAGCTCAGGGGGCAGGAGTGCATGGAGGGATGGACACAGGGAAGAGATAACTATGGGGAGGAAGCGGAAGGAGAGCTGTTGCATTGTGGTAAACTGTGGTCAATGACATGAGACAAAGTATATGTGAACAGCTGTATGGAAAGTGAATATGCTCACCCAAATCACAAAAAAAAAAAAAAAAAAAAAGAATTGTGGCTCACCCAAACAGGACAGACCCCAAAAGAAAATCACCAAGACATATCATCATTAAACTCATCAAAGCCAAAGACAAAGGAAGAATCCTGAAAGTAACAGGGGAAAAACAAAAAGTTACCTACAGAAGGTAAGACTAAGTTCAGATTTTTTCAGCAGAAACCATGCAGGTGAGAAGGCAATGGGATGGTATACAAAACCCTGAAAGAGAAAAATCTGAAACCAAGAATTATATACCCCGCAAAACTATCCCTCAAATATGATGGTGAAATTAGGAGATTTCCAGATAAGCAGAAATTAAGGAAATTTGTTAAAAACAGACCAATTTAAGAGACAATAAATGGGGTCCTTTGGAAAGAGAACCAACAATAGTAAACAACAACCAATCATTAACACACATGATGACATAACCCAAAAACCAACACAGCTATGGTGCCTACGGCACTTGAATGCTAACCAGAAGGCTGGTGGTTCAAACCCACAAGCCACTCCTCAGAAGGAAAGTTGGGCAATCTACTTCCATAGTGATACTGCCTCGGAAACTCAAGGAGGGGTCGCTATGAGTCGTGTCCAACTCAATAACACATAGCAACAACAACAACAAAGTAAAATAAGCTCACAAGATTATAAACAGGAAACCAGAGACATCAAATGGCAAGTGAAGATAACTACTAACCAAAAAGAGGGAAAAATACTGTAGTTACAGAACTTCTGAATGGTGAGGAAGTTAAGAGAGTTGCAAGATAGGATGGACTGTTCTAACCTCAGGGAGAAAATGATAAATCACAAGGTAACCTCAAGGAAAAAGGATAAACCTTCACATCATAATAAACAAGAGGACAAGTGCAAACAATTAGCAAATACAAAAGCACTAGCAACAACGGAAATGATAATACGATACATAAACACAATGAGCTCAGCACAGAAAATTATATGGAACGAAGTCAGGAACACCACGAAGAAACACATAACAAAATGACAGCAACAAATTCATACTTCTCGATAATTACACTGAATGTCAATGGATTAAATGAACCACTCAAGAGATGAAAAGCTACATACTGGATAAGAAAATATAACCCATCAATATGCTGTCTACAAGAGACACACCTCAGAGACAAAGACAAAAATAGACTAAAAATCAAAGATTGGAAAAAGATGTATCAAGCAAATGGTAACCAAAAAAGAGCAGGAACAGCAATATGAATTTCTGATAAAATTGACTTTAAGATAAAAACCACCATAAGACACAAGCAAGGACATTATATAATGATTAAAGGATCAACTGAATAAGAAGATATAACCATAATAAATATCTATGGACTCAATGAAAGAGCCCCAAAATACATAACTCAGACTTTAACAGAACTGAAAAGACAAATAGATGACTCCACAGTCATAGTAGGAGACTTCAATACACCATTTTCAATGAAAGATAGAACAATTGGAAAGAAACTCAACAAAGATGCCGAAGAACTAAACAATACAATCCACCAAACTTGACCTTAGAGACATCTACAGAGTCCTTCACCCAACAGCACAGTATATATTCTTTTCCAGTGCACATGGAACATTCTCCATGATAGGCCACAAAGCAAGCCTTAATAAATTTAAAAACATTCAATTAAAAATTTCCTTGCATCAAAGGACAAGGTTATAGTTACTTCTTGGCCACAGCCAGCTATCCAGAGAGACCAAGTAGTTGGACCTGTGTGGGCTCGGGACCACAGTCACAGGGGACATCAAACTCAATTACCATAACATACGACACAAAACATTATTCTACATCCTACTTCAGCTGAGTAGCAAATGGGATCTTAAAAGCTTGCAAGCAGCCATCTAGATGCAATGATGCATCTCTCCTCATGCAGAGCAAAGAAGAATGAAGAAAACCAAACATGCATGGAAACAAGTAGTCCAAGTGACTGGTACACCACATGATCCTCAGCCTATGTGACTATGAGACCAGAAAAACTTGATGGTGCCCAGCTACCACTGTCAACCACTTGGAGGGGGATCTACGTAGGAAACCCTGTATAGAGTAGGAGAACAAGATGGAACAAAATGCAAAATCACTAACTGAAAAAAAAAAAAAAGGGATCAGGTTTGCCAGTCTGATGCAGCCTGATGGAACCACTGAGACTATGGCCCCAAACTGCCCTTCAAGTCTGGAACTGAACCCAATACTGTGGCTTCCAGAGAAACAAAAGACAGGCATATGAGGTAACATTTACACTAGGTGGATACACTCCTTGGAGAGAACAATCATGGGAGAATAGACAGGCTGTGTATACACAGGAAGACTGCTCAGGGAGGCAGGAGTGCATGGAGTGGGGGAACCCAGGAAGTGGGGGGGTGGGGAGCTGTTGCACTGAGGGAAATTAAAGTCAATGCCATGAGACAAAGTATATGTGAACTGCTGTATGGAAAGTGAATTTGCTCTGTAAACTTTCAGCCAAATCACAATTTTAAAAAAAGAAAGAAAAAAACTCATTAATGGTGAATCAAAAAAAAAAAAAAAATCCTTGCATCAAATGAGAATGAAAACACAACATACCAAAATCTTTGGGATAAAGGAAAAGCAGTGATCAGATGCCAATTTATAGCAATAAATGCATATATCAAAAAAGAATAAAGGGCCAAAATCAACACTTTAAACCAACATCTCTAAACATCAGAAAAAGAACAGCAAGAAAAGCCTACAGTCACCAGAAGAAAGGAAATAATAAAGCTTCGAGGAGAAATCAATGAAACAGAAAATAGACAACAGAAAAAATCAACAAGACTAGAAGTTGGTTTTTTGAAAAGATTAGTAAAATTGACAAACGAAATGTAACAAAGGACAAGAGGGAGAGAATACAAATAACATGAATAAGAAATAAAATGGGCAACATCACAACAGAACCCACCGAAATA